GAGACAGATAAGGAATGGATGTAGTCAGCATGCCAGCAAACACCGGGACCATACGCTGCCATGCTTTGTTATGCAATGATTCCAGACTACATGCTACTGGCCTAGCGTGGTAAAGTGTCCTACCATGGCGGACGGGATAAGGCAGCCCTCCCCAGAAACCTTTTGCAAAGGCTTTGGGAGTACATGAAGGAGAGCTTTCTGGAGATGTCCCTGGTGGATTTCCGCTCCATCCCCATACACGTTAACAGACTTTTCCAGTAGCTGTACTGGCCGCGATTGCCAGGGCAAATTAATCATTAATCACTAAACACGCTTGCTTTTAAACCATGTGTAATATTTCCAAAGGTACACTCACCAGAGGTCCCTTGTGTGCCCTCAAGGTCTGGGAGCACGCCTTGGGTGAGTTTGGGGGTTACTGGTTCCAGGTCCAGGGTGATAAACATATCCTGGCTGTTGGGGAAACCGGTTTCTCCACTTCCTTGCTGTGAGCTATCTTCATTGTCTTCATCATCATCATCTTCCGCATACCCCGAACCCGCTTCCCTGTTGCGTGATTCTCCATTGATGGAGTCAAAGCACATGGTTGGGGTAGTGGTGGCTGCACCCCCTAGAATGGCATGCAGTTCTGCGTAGAAGCGGCATGTTTGCGGCTCTGCCCCAGACCTTCCGTTTGCCTCTCTGGCTTTGTGGTAGGCTTGCCTTAGCTCCTTAATTTTCATGCGGCATTGATGTGCGTCCCTGTTATGGCCTCTGTCCTTCATGGCCTTTGAGACTTTTTCTAATATTTTGCCATTTCGTTTACTGCTACAGAGTTCAGCTAGCACTGATTCGTCTCCCCATATGGTGAGCAGATCCAGTACCTCCCGTTTGGTCCATGCTGGATCTCTTTTGCGATCCTGGGACTCGATCATGGTTACATGTGCTGATGAGCTCTGCGTCGTCACCTGTGCTCTCCATGCTGGGCAAACAGGAAATGAAATTCAAAAGTTTGCGGGGGTTTTTCTGTCTACCTGGTCAGCGTATCTGAGTTGAGAGCACTGTACAGAGCGGTCACAATGAAGCATTGTGGGATAGCTCCCAGGGGCCAATAACGTTGAATTTCGCCCACAATACCCCAAATCCAACCCGCAAAGGCCGATTTTAGCACTAATCTCCTCGTCGGAGGTGGAGTAAAGAAACCGGTTTAAAGGGCCCTTTAAGTCGAAAAAAAGGGCTCCGTCGTCTGGAGGTGTCCAGGCTTAATTCGGTTTAACGCTGTTAAAGTCGACCTAAACTTGTAGTGTAGACCAGGCCTTAGTTTGATAGCATCCTGTCTTGCAAGAACTCACTTATCAATAGCTGGGATGTGAAATCCTCATTTCTGTATTGTTCTATCACTGTAGTCTCCACTTCCCTATTGTTTGTCTGTATAATCTCTGTCTGGTTCTGTGATTGTTTCTGTCTGCTGTATAATTAATTTGTTTGGGTGTAAACCAATTAAGGTGGTGGGATATAATTGGTTAAATAATCATGTTACAATATGTTAGGACTGACTAGTTAAATGTGAGTAAAATGATTGGTTAAGGTATAGCTACGCAGAACTCAAGTTTTACTATATAGTCTGCAGTCAATCAGGAAGTAAGGGGGGAATGGGAACAGGGAATGGGAGTGGGGGAATTGAAATCATGTGTCGCTAAGGGGGGCAATGGAAACAGGGAATGGGAACAGGGACACAGGCAAGGCTCTGTGGTGTCAGAGCTGGGAAGGGAGACACTGAGGAAGGAAACTGGAATCATGCTTGCTGGAAGTTCACCGCAATAAACATCGAATTGTTTGCATCTTGGGACTTTGGGTATTGTTGCTCTCTGTTCATGGGAGAAGGACCAGGGAAGTGAGAGGGTGAAGGAATAAGCCCCCTAACAAATATCATTTGAGCAAGGAGTGGAGATTGAGGCTGACCAGTTGATGAACACAGAAGGGCAAAGAATGAGAAGAAGATTCATTTCATTGAGCTATATTGGTGCAGTGAAATCAAAAAATCTCAATATGAGGCTGAACTATTTCTGCCCCATTGCCCTACAACTCCACCACTGCAAAGTAAGTTCAAAGATCATGTTAAGGAGCTGACTCAGGTGAATTTAAACCACCCCCCCCACAGTAGGTTGCCCTAAAAGACGGCTTTCCAGATGGATGCTACGTGCTACATGTCACTGGACATCCCATCGGAGGAGAAGAGAAGAATGTCCTGGAAAAAGGAGAATTATTCAGAGATGGCTGCTGATTTCATAATTAAGTTTCTGCAGAGTCTCTGTTGGGGAGTTTATTATTCAAAATGTTCTCAAATGACCTGCCAGAGATACATTGGTTTTTACATTCATCCTTAGCACTGGGAGGAGCGGTAGTGATGGAAATGGGGTTTGGTTTGGTCAGAGGGCTCCAGATAGTGTTGCCAACTGTCCAGTCACACAAACCCTAATACTGTTGCCCCGCCCCAACCCCTACCCCAAGGCCCCACCGCCAGCCTTCTCCTTCCCTGAGGCCCCACTCCGCTCACTCCATCCCCCCTCCCTCCATCACTCTCCTTTCGCTTACCGTCACTCTCTTTCACTGGGATGGGGTAGGGAGTTGGGGTGCGGGAGCAGGTGCAGGCTATGGGCTGGGGCCGCGGGGATCAGAGTGTGGGAAGGGGCTCTGGGCTAAGCCTGGGGCAGTGGTTTGGGGAAATGTCCCGTGCTGCCGGCTCCACAGGGAGGAATTTTGTCCAAGGCCATTTTTAAGCAGGGAGGGAGGAACAAGGAGAACAAGAAGACTGATATTAGGATGCAGCAGAGTTTTTAATGCAGTTGAAATTGGCAGTAGACAGTTACAAGAAAAAATACTACAGAGCAGAATGAATGTATTTCCAGTGTTACTAGAAGGGCCACGACCAATCACAGGCCTCAGTGGGGTGTATTTCAGACAAGATGTTCCCTTTGCTTTTTTGCAGCTGCAGAGATTGACAAATAAGGCCCCTTTACAACCATTTTAAGTTCCTTGTTTTACCCCAGTTGGTGGGAAATGAGACAAAACAAAATAAAAGCAGAGAACTATGAAACTTCCCCCCATACATCGGCCGTAGCAAAGGTCAAAGTGAGGCGCTAACGGTATGTATTGATGGAAAGGATAGAACATGTGGGGCCTAATTCTCCTTGACACCAAGATTTCTTTTTCCCCTCTAAATGGACTTAAATAATAATAAATGTAACTGATATCCATCTTAAGGCCCGTTTCCTTTGCACTGCGGGGTTAATGTAAACAGCCTGAGTGTAATTCAGAATGAGTCCACATGTGAATAAGAGAAACAGAACAGGGTTGGGAAAGCCTTGGCAGAAAGAGTCATAAAGTGTAACAGTAGAAATGCAGCATGGCTATCAGGCCAAGGTGCTGCGCACACACATCTCCCACTGAGTTCAACGGGAGCCATGTTGGCACAGCACTTCTGAAAGCCAAGCCCAAAAGATCAGGGGTGAATCTGTATCTTGCTGTTCATTTCCTGGTTCTTCCTTCTTCCACGGATGTTCCTGCTGGGTTTACCATGCCCCACAGTGTCCACCGAGATACCTACGGCCATATCCCCCATATCCCCATAACTCCCCCATAACCATAAAGACCTGGGTAACCACGGTATCCTCCATGGCCCCATAATCCCCCATAACCGTAATGGCCACCGTAACCACCGTATCCCCCTAAACCGTACAATCCTCCGTAAAGGCCTCCATAGCCGTATCCCCCATGTCCGAATGAGCCCCCGAAACCAGGTCCGACCACAGGTGCTCCTACAGCTCCCACTCCACTGTGCTGAGGGAAATTGCTCATAATTGGTCCTGGAAGGGTCACGACAACCGGTGAGGGTCTGATCACCACTTCGGAGTCCTGGCACTGCCTAACGCACGGCTCGTTGCAGGTGCCAGTGACTGGACAGGGCCGGGCCACCCCGCATTCTGGATAGCACAGGCTGGAGAAAGTCATCTTTCTGGGATGGAGGTAAACCTGAAACACACAACAGGTACTAGAGTAAAGGGAAGGTACACGTGCCGGTTCAAGAAAGGCTTCATCTCGATTACAATTGTAGTGAGGTCTGCATTGGGTCTGAGAGAGTGGGAGGGAGTAAACTTAGTCTCTGTCTGTGTGGCCATGTGTTTGTTCCTATTTTCTCTTTCTAAGCTTCTTCTCCACTCACACTAAACTTCCCTCCCAACTGGCCCCTTTGAGCTCCTATCAATAACATTGTCTGAAAAATATCATGGTCATCACTTCCTTTTGGGGGGGGATTTAAGCTCTGCATGCAAACCAGTTGAGTCCAGTGTAGGAGTGTGGCTCATTGGTTTGCCAAAACTAGGGAGTCATCAATACTTGCTGATAAATAAACAGAAAACTTTACTTTTCTCCAAAGAAATCACTGAGGACAAGCGCCTTAGCTGGGATAAAACGGGTTCAGGTCCACTGACTTCCATGGAGCGACACTAAATTACACCGTCTGAGGAGAAGCACTTTCAATGGGTATTTCTGCTCAGAAGAACATAGCAATTGGTAGATTGGAGCACACCACTTGCCAACTTCATCCATTTTCGTGTCTCCAGTAGTGAGGAGTAATAGCTACTTGAGAATAAAGTAGAAGACCACTGAACTGGCCCTGTCTGTACTAACCTGGGAAAATGTATTCATAATTCAGATAAGTGAAAAGTGGTTTAGTGACCTTCTGCAGTTACTGAAAAGTTTTAGCAAAGAGTCCTGTGGCACGTTATAGACTAATAGATGGATAGGAGCATGAGCTTTCGTGGCTGAATACCCACTTCTTCAGATGAAAAGATTTAAATGCCCTAATTCTTTTTCCAGATAATAGAAAATATGTTTCCCATGAATCCACCAGTGCCTGCAACTAAATAACTACACAAGTTCATTATGGAAGAGCATAAATCCCTCAGAAAAAATCACAATGAGTAAAAGCAAGATTCAGTCTTAAATGAAAATAAACCTACTGTCACATCTCTAGAGTTCAAAAGCGATTGAGTCTAATTCGACTTACCGAGTTCACCGAGGAGATGAAGTCCAGAGAAGTGATTAGAAAAGCCTTGAGTCGTGAGCACTTTTATACAGGTCCTAGGACTGCCTGGAGGATCTGCGACGCTGTTTGTGCTGGAGGTCCTAAGTAGTCGCCAAACAAACTTGATTGCCTTGTTATGTTTTCCTTTGGATGAAGCTGTTTTCCTCAGGGGTTTTGATTATTGGGCCAATCTCAGCCTCAGAGGGCGTGCCATACACGTTGCACCCTTCATCTTTCTTTCATCTTAAATTGTACGGGTCAACTACATTCCTCATGTCATTCCACTGCCTTTTTTTGTGGCTGCAATGAGAATGAATATCAAGGTGATTCTGAACCACATCGGTAGCACAAGTGGCTCTGATGGAAGGAACCCAGTTTGGTTCTTTCAGTTCATACTTGTCATGGCCGGGGGCATTGGGTCATACACTGTAAACCTGCTAGGAAGGAGAGAGCCATTTTTCTGCATTCTCAATCCCCACTGGGTCAGATTCACTTCCTTTTGAAGTCAAAGAGAATCCTTCCATTTCCTCCAGCATGTTTCCTGTCAGGACCTGAAATTTGAAATTCACCTGTTGGCAGGGATATGGTAAAATGCCCTATGAATAATTTTAGTCCCACTTTAAACTTTCAAACTGGATCTTAGCAGGGACCTAAGTGTGATGGCTGTCTGTCCAGAGGTGAATTTCTCCCAATGTTGAGTAAAACTTCACCTAATATTGAACCTCCACTTGTGTCACTAATGTTGTCACAAAGGGCTGCCTA